ATTTGCACGTCTTTTGGATTAAACTGATTTTCTTTACTAACATAATTTCCTTCTTCATTCATTCGTCTATCGTTACTTCACTCAGCTAATCACTCATCAGCCCTCTGAAGAGTTCGCGCAGGCAGCAACATGTTTGACGGGCACACTTGTTTACGAGCGGTTCCCAGTAATTTACTTGGTCATCAAATAGTTTCTTCCTTCAATTTCGTCCTCTGCAACACAAAGTACATAGCTTCATGGCGGAAGGGAACGAGGACACTTCACAAAAGCATAGTCCTCCCTTTTAGCAAATCAGGATTTTTCATGAGCAAGTGTAATAATTCACTCAAATCTCAAATTAAATATCCTTATACGTGAATTGAACACATAGTTGAGTTATGTAGCGTACTCAGAATTCTGTCAAATTCAGTAAGCCTTCATGCAGCTCGTTGCATGTATTGTAAATGTACATCCCCGCCAGTGATATGTACTTCAAGAGTTACTAACCTCACTTTATCGGTACAATTTTTCGTTATTCGAATGTTTATGGTTAAAAGGTAGGGAAGAGGTTCACGAGCTCAAGAAAACGTGCGCCTATTGTATTCCTGTCCTATACATCACGTACAGTCTTTACTGCTCTTTCACGAAAGGAAATCAAATCAAATGAAAAGGGAACAAGAAAACAATACATATTTTTTGTAAGTAAATATGAATCTACACCGCCAAGCCCCTGGAAAATTATGCAAACAACAATGCATGCCTCTTAAAGCCATTCGATATAAACGCTAGGTTACAATCACTAGGTTAAAACATTTTTTTTCGTTTTCAGACGAACGGTTCTTTAACAGAAGATTTTTAATTTTAGAAAGATTAAAATTCCGTAAGATCATGAGTTTTTGTAGCACAAATTGTGTTAACGAATCCGGATCATAAAACATCCATTATCTCACTATTTAGCCTCTAGGACTTTTCGGTAACAGATTTGCCGTCCCTGTTTCCTCTTTGGTTACGGTGTAAGGGTGGGGGGTCGGGTGCAGGAGCCCAGCTGACAGTCAGAGCCCGTCAAAGCCACCGCTACTCCCTCCCCCCCCCCTTCGCTCGGGAAAAAGGCTCCAGTGGCGCACGTGCCCCACTTTTTCAATGATTTCAAAAGTGTCACATTTACATCAATTGGTTTCACATAGCAACAGATGATGAATTCTAGTGATAAAAGGCATGTCAAACATTCGTCAATGACAAACTGTGCCACTGTTTCCTCTCCGTGCAATATAAACTCTAAACAGTCGTCTTATTGAAAAAGGGGGTCAGAGGTAGAATCAAATTATTTTTTGAAACTTGAACATAAAGAACCAAGATACTGCAATGGTGTTATGGAACTCTGGATACATTTTAATACAATGACGTTACAAGAATCCAAATATACTATGTAATAAATATTTAAGCAAAGCAAAGCTATTATTTTGTTTACAGTAATCCAGTTTGATTAATACGTTTAATGATGAGTATTGATACATTAGACATTATTGCCAAAACTTCATTAAAAGGTCAGCACACGTCACCGGAAGTGTCTATTGGAAAACCTTCATTGTAATGTTTTAATATTGGAAAATCATGTTAATAATTTATTTCGTACCAATAGCACATTCCTTATCATTTAATGTGAAGGTGGTTATCTTTAGGAAATCAACTGCCGATTTGACATTCTACAAATAAATTAGCTGCGCTTATTAGTGTCCTTTTCATACATGCAAGTACATTGCATATAACAAATAAACACATATTGAAATTAAAAGTGCTTACAAGACATCTGTAAGAAATAAAAAGAATCGTTGATCAATCACGGTGCCGAACAATACGTCCAGTTGTATCTGCTGCAGAAGCTCGTATGGCTAATGAAGTTTTCTGTATCCGAAATTGCTGGACGCCATTTTGACTTGCGAACATACTGAGGTAACATGGTGGCAACAACCCGTGGTCCCCAACACAAGTGAAGTTACGATCGTTATGGACCGCAAAACTGCCATTAGCGCTGTTATATTCCTTGCAACCTTCCTGTCAGCCCCCGGGCACCACTGCGCGCAATTGTGTCCTTTATATTACACTTACTCGCTATGCACCCAATTACGCCATCGCTGAATTGAAAACTTGTTAGATAAATGTTGACGACCCTCTACGTTTCCATTTTCAACAAGGCTATATGGAGCATATTCCCGCAAAACACAATTTTGCAACATTTTACCCACCTTCGCATTTAGAAATATCTCGAGCGAGCAGAGCAGAAAACGTCGCCAGCGTCCATCTGTTTGGGTGCGACGTACAATGGAATAGCATTCACAGCAATAGACAATGTGCACTTTTACAACGTTTATTCGACTTTCCATCAAACGCAAAAGTATCTTTTCTGCGTGTGATTTATGAAAATAGAAGCTGAAAATTATATCAACATGCGTCCCAGTTACTTAACAGAGTTACGGAAAATAAACACAGTTTTTCGTGGCGGCAGTGTATTATGGTATTTCGTGATATTCATTCATGATAGAGGAGGTATCAACCACAAAGTACAATATTACTATATAAATTTTAACACAATCCTACACGTGTTTCGAGACTACTTTATCCCATCTACAGTGACTACACAAAGTAAATGAGCGAACAATATAATAAGCACATGAATAAATAGAATTCCAAACTAATACTTAAATTTATGTAAACAGGATACATACCCAAGAATCCCATACAATGTCATACCCAATAAAGTTTCATTTTCCATAGAATTATTAATGATAATTTTATTTTCTTCTCCGGTCACTCTTTCAAATCTCATTTGATGACGTACTCTCATTAATATGAAGGACCAGATTCATGTATTAGGATCTCCATGTTTGTGGAAGGGTGATTGATTAGGTCCAGGGAGGGGGCGATCTGTCGGCCCGCGGCACAAGCTCCAAGTTCCCCACCGTCTCCCGGCGTCTGTTAGCGAGCGGAGGCACTTCGGAAAACTTCCTCTCAGAGCAGCCAGACAGCGACAGAACGTGACGCAGCCACCTCGCTACTTCCGAAAACCCTGCCATCGTCAGGACTCGAAACTGAAGACGGAGGACCGATGCCCTGAGCCACCTCTCCCAGTAAATGACCGCTAATCATAATATATTCTCAACGTAACTACAAATTTGAATTATCACGCGGATTTTGACCGTCTCGGTGCTTCAAACGGTAGAGCAGCTGGGCTCCTGCCAGAAGATCGGAGTTCGATTCGTGGCCGGAGAAAAGTTTTGACGAGCTTATATATTTTTAATCAAAAGTTAGCTACGAAGTCGAAATAGTAGGGTGGTAATTGCGATGAAAAAAAGATATTCCGTTTGTAACTCTTCAGACTACCCACGGTGTCAAGGTCCATAAGAATACTCCTAACGTGTGTCCTCTAGTATTTGCCTCTGGTTGGTCGGTGCTCATTCCTCCAATCAGCAACCGCCAGTCCCAACCGCTCCCCTGAACCAGTTAATTATTGCCAGCGCTTCGAGGAATTCGCTTGTTGGCTCGCCGACGCTAAATGCACTTTCAAGTCCGGACACGACGTCGACGGCGATGTTTTCAACACATTGATGTTTTTAATCATCGATATATCTAACATCGATATTCGTGTTCCATGTTTTTACGAGAGCGATATTTCTTAAACAAAAAAGGGACGAAACAAAATCATATTACAATTTCAGGTATCCACAAATTAAATATTCTTCACGCCAGTATGATTGAGGGTGAAAAATAAATAAAATCGAGTTTTCGTCAATAAAAAAAGTACATAATTTTCGAATTATCGAATCAGATAAACCAAGTTTCGTTAACTGTCCTAGTAATGTCTGTCTTTGTTTTAGCAGTTAAATCTCAATCAAAATTAATAAACTGAATCCTTCCTCGTGAACTTGAATGGTTAGTAAGTCAGTTCTAATGACGTCGATAGTTTTGGTCAATGCTTCATTATCATCGATGCGTTGTTGGCGATGACGCATTCCTATTTTCAAGAGTCTTCTTCGAGTTTGTTCGCTCCCTCATACGCGTTGATAAACTAATAAAATACGTCCGCCCTTGAATTTATTATTCTTAGCTTGATTAATTTGCGGCAAAATTTGATTTACGTTCCAGAATTCTATTACGGTTAAATCTCTGCCCTCTTCGCCTGTAATGAAATGTATTAAGAATATATCTAAGGTCATCACCGACCTCTGAATGCGCTTACGAGTGCAATGTGCGAAGGAAGAGGAAAAATTGTAGTCTTTCACGACAAAGGATTCTAGAACAGAAAGCGAAATAAATACATCCAGAGCAGTAAGTCACCTTAGTAGAGAAAACGGGTAGGTTTCTAAGAAAAACTATACAACTTTTCAATTAGTTTCCTTGTTGCAAGGATTGGTTAAGAGCATAGTGGCATCCTGGGCGCGTCAAGAGCTAAGGTCATTATGCCTGTAAGCGTAGTGCATGATTGATCGCGGTGATCTTCCCCGCCCGGGAAATTTCCCCATCCAGGTATTGCCTCTGCTCCCATCAGCGTGGCCCAGCCTGAGACTCCACAAGCGCTAAGCTCCTGCCACGTGCGGTAGCGCAGTACGCGCTAATGTGAGTAGAAGTGGGGGTGAGGATAGGGCAAGGAAGAGAACAGCAGCCCATTGCGAGGAATGCGCGCCGCCAGCCCCGGCGCAGTCGAGCGCTCGGCCGCGCGGCCCTGGAAACCTTGCCACGTAAAGCGAACTAGCGCTCACCAACGACATCGCTTTATTTAGTACACATGCTCAGAGAACTATTGCGCGAATTACCCACACAAAAATTCATTTTCCAAAACGTTTCAACACAAAATTAGACATTTTATCAGTGTCTTTTTGTATGTCTTACAATGAATGTGGTTGTAAAATTATCAAAAGTTGAAAGATAGAACAAATATTGTTTTGAAATAGAGCCACATATTGAAAATTAATAAGAGAAATAATCTTGATCACAATTTTACGAATCGTTATCATATTGAGATTAGTCTAATTCACAGATTCATCACCAATATGAATATATACCACAATATCTCGGCTGAAATAACGAACTTTATGCAACATGATTTACAAAGTTCCTGAAAATTAAAAGCAATTATAAATTATTTTTTTATATTATTATGATATATACATTTTGTGTGAACTTTCAACTTTTAGTAAATGGTAAAAAATATTTCACTCTTTCAAACATATGTTATAATTTTCAATTTTGTAAATTTTATATATAAATTTATTGTATTACATATTGCACAATTTCAAAAAGACACACTAAGAAATGTTTATGATTGTTTATAAACTTTTTTCACAACTGAACAATAAATCAGCTTCGTTTCTATTAAGTAATGCAATATATGACTATTTTATACTATAAATATTCTAAATACACAGTACAAGCTATGTTTCTCTTTAACTGTACATGGTAGTTGGATGGTTACCAAATTATTCGATACCGTCATTATATGAAATCGCTTCTTGGAAACACGTGTTCAGAAATACGTCGCAAACGTCTTTCAGATGAAGACAACAGCTGGTAATAGAGAACAACGTAGAGAATGGTGAACGAGTTGTTAAAAACATCATCCTAGCCATCTGTATTTCTTAGAATCGAACAGCATTCACACAAAATGTCCTAAATATATAAATGCTTTTGCCACGCCTCAAAAACTGAAAATATTTTCAAATGTCCATCCAGGAAATGATAGTAATATTTTGATAAATAGATATGCCCTTAGTTCATTTGTGTCTACATTTTTCTTTCAATTATTTTGCTGTTTATTGCGAGTTCGCAGCTGGTTGGCAGCGGCACGGGACAGTTGCGCATGCGCAGACGCCCCCGCGGCCCGCAGGGCTAACAGCGCCCCGCCCCCACGACCTCCACACGCCTAACGCCTTCACTCATTTCAACACCATTGAGGATCTCATGTTATCGCTTTCATGGATCGCTATGGATGAGTAGTGACAATTCAGTTTCATTTTTTTAATTCGCATTTTTGTATGCGAATGGGTGGGGCAGGCTGCGGCGAGGCAAGGAAAGCGCGAATATAGTAGTTATTTTGGTGTTAAGTGAGTATCGTAAGCCCTCTTATTAAAGTATGAGGTTGGTGAATTATCAAAGGGTATGTTTGAAGGTGTGAAAATTTATATCAATGTAAGCAATTTGGCTTCACGCAACACCGTTAGCGACGCAACAGTTTATAAACATAATTGAGAGTTAAAGACAATCCAAATAAATGCGTACAAAAAATAACCGGAAAATAATATAGTTTCTGCTGGTTCTTAATCAATGGAATGTTTGTTCTGTGGTGCTCTTTCCATGCGAGAGAAAGTCAGCAAACTAGTTTTACTTTCATGTACATGACATATCAGAAAACAGTAAAAATTATTTTTTGTCAATCTTTCTATATGTCATCACTCGTCTTTCAAGAAGTGACTTTTTTTGTAGAGATGCAACGACAGAAGAGGTCAGAGCTAAGTACACAACAGTACTGCCGTCTTTTCTGCCACTTGGCGACTAATGCTGACAAGCTCCCCCTCGCGAGCCTTCAGCGCGAAATATGAATGACATCTGGAAAATACCTCTCTGGCTCTGCAATATTTCCGTGCAGCGAAAGAGCAGCTCCGCTCTCAGACGAGGGAATCCAACGCGCGCCTGCCGCACGCGCCAGCCACTCCATTTGGGGGTTCCCACGTGGGCGAATGACAGCTCCTCCCTTTTCATCTTCATCCCTCAAACCGATTAGTCGTATTACAATCAAAGAGCTAGGACATGCTCGAATAAATATAAGTTCTTTCCCTGAGGTTCGGCGAGCCGTGTTACGTGCCCACAACAGCCAGTGGGTTCGTCCTCATCTTGCGAGTTTAACGTCGGCGCCGAGTTAAGGACGGGACATTCACACTCGCCCGTCACTTCATTCTTAAACGTACAGTTTGTAATTAATGCGTTTTTCTGTGGCGTTCAAAAGACTAACTACATTTTGACCAAGGTTTATTGAAAAAATCAACATAAGCATGAGTACTTACTCTCTACGCAATGTGATATAAGATGCGAAGTTCAGTATCTTACATACCTGCAACAAAAGAAATAAAAGTAGATGATAAAGAATATAACAATGAGATATTTTACTGGCTAGACTTTTTTTAATCGTTACTCAACACGCATGGAAATACTGAGCTTACTGAAGTCATTCAGGAAGTCGAAGATAAATCTTACAAAAAAGTTTGGCACGTGACGCAGTTGCTCCTTCAGGCACTACACACACTACCCACAAGCCCCTTTCTCAAGAACAATCGCACTTCTTTCTCGTATGAAGATTCCAATATGTTATTGATATAAAATTATTGTGTATGAAATGTTTTTAAAGCATCGCCGCCAAAAATGATTGAAATGTAGGAGTGTAGAGCAAATTACGAACTTGAATGGTTAAGTTTTAACTTTTACAAGTCTGCCTTCTATTTTTAAATTGTAGAAAAATAATTGTTTTAAAATATTCAACGGGAAAAAACGCACTTGAAAAACAATTCTAAGACACATTTAGCCTTTCGAGTAAACAATGATTTAACCTGGCAATTTTATTTATTGAATCCACAGCAGACACGGGAAAATGAATGTATGTTCAAAGTATTTTTTTTTATTTCAGTTCTTTTATACCTTCATGGAGCTTTACACTTTTTAGATACACTATTTTACTTTTTGATTCTTCAGTGGCATTAGTGCAAAAACAAAAAACATTGTTTCCCACTTCTCTCTCAACTCTCTCAACCGAGAAGCGAAGCCATGTTTGAAACATGAAAAGAGCTTCTCTATCAAGATCAAATCTACGTTTTTTACTCGTTTTAAAGCTTAAAGCAAAAATGTGAAGAAGATTTCGTAGTTAAACGAAATTGTCTTGGTAGGTCGATTCTTCTACCACTAGTTCACCAAGATTTAAAAGTCATCTAATCCAATTTTTGTCCAGTAACTGATCAAGAGAGCAAGACCTGATATTGGCCCCTGCATCAACCCTGGATATACATGATTAATTCTGATCAGTTTCGTGGAACTATTTTTGCGGTACGAATAGGGCGGGAAGTATTATTTTTAGGTCAAAATTTTCCGGTACCGGTTTCTATTCCTCGTAATGCAAACATTTCTAGTTTTTGAAATGTCGGTAGCCACGTTTGTGGGTAACTTTGTCACAATAGGGCTTCTAATACTGTGATATTTAAAAAAATAAAATAAACCAATTTTTATTAAAATAGAATATTTAATTTAAATTAGATGGGCTTTACGTCTATGTTAGTTTTAATCGTTTCAGTTTTATTATTCTTTAGAAGTCTTATCTCTTATTACTTCTAGGAAACATTGACCTGTATCTAGTAATGCATAAAAATCATCTTCATTTGCATGACACACAAATTGTTCATCCTGCAAAAACACTGCAGATATTACTGTTATATTATGTAATCTTATACTGAATCTCTACGAAAGAAGATACTGGAAAAACTGCATGTTCACAAATCTAATGCAGGACAATCTACAAAAGCCGCTCACCGCGACGACAACTCAACTTACGAAGGAGGATATTAAAAAAGGAGAAAATGGCCGCTTCGTCAGAATTTTCTGTAATTCCATTCGATGCCATTTCTTTCCGCCAGCAAGCGCTGCAGTTTGGGGCCTTCCCTTCTCTTCCCATCGCTCCGCGCCAACAGCTAATGATGAAAATGCAATTAATAGCATTAGTGCATTTAATGAAGTGCAAACGCTGTCTGCTACAATGCGCTCAATGTGGAAGTCGCTATCACTTATTAAGAGGCAACGGCTATTCGTCCACCAAGAGCAACGCTTGGTGAGTGGTAGTTTCGTGGCGAGGCGCAGTGGAGCTTTTGTGCAATGCGTGAGAGTGGGCGAATGGGAGGGACGGTGATGTGTGCAAGATGAGAGGAATGAGTGAACACGACGAGACGCGAGGAGCGAAACAACGTCCTGGGAGAGTAATACAAAGCGCGGAAGGGTGGAGTGAAGCAGAGTAGGGAGGGTGGAGTGGAGCAAGGCGGGGCGGGGCAGATTGTGGGATATGAGTGGTGCTGCTGTCCCCTGGGGCGTGGGCGGCCAGAGCCACAATGCCTGTGTGAGGGCTGTGTGTGTAGGGGAGGGAGGGCGGAGATCGCGGTGGGAGT